GCTTGGGGGAGAAGAGATGGATTCATATCTTTCTCAAGGGTATTAGCATGTAATTGAATATAACAAAATTGATTGGAATTCAAACTCAGCTCTCTAATTCATCATTCCAAGCTGCGATCTATTATTTCATTGTATCTCCAAAATTGTTTAGAATTTATGGTATTTCTAGGAGAAGATTGTTCAATATCATGGAAAGAATATAGACATAAGTAGATGCTTTGATCATTGCTTCGTATATAAAACTGATTATGACCATAAAGTGTTGATTTCTATGTCCACACTGGTTATTTTTCTCTGTCTCTCTTTATCTTGTTCTCTCTCATACCCTCTCTCTGTCTCTCTTTATCTTGTCCTCTGTCATACTCTCTCTCTTTCTCTCACTCTCTCTATCTTGACCTCTCTCATACTATCTCTTTCTATCTCGTCCTCTCTCTCATACTCTCTTTCATTCTCTCTCTCTCTCTTGTCCTCTCTCATACTCTCTCTCTTTCTCTCACTCTCTCTATCTTGACCTCTCTCATACTATCTCTCTCTATCTCGTCCTCTCTCTCATACTCTCTTTCATTCTCTCTCTCACTCTTGTCCTCTCTCATACTCTCTCTCTCTCTTTCTCTCTCTCTCTCTCTCACACACATGCTCTCTTTCATTAGCAATAAGTAATATTAAATGTTCCTTCTCTGAGTTTTGTGATTGATCCACTCATCTATTGAATTTATTTATAGAAGTGATATCTGTAAATAAAGTCTATTTTACAAGTGTACACACACACACACATACACATATATATATAAATAAAAAGAGACAATAAGAAAAAAACTATTTTTAGCCAATGCGTTTCATCCTCTGAGGGACTTTATCAAGGCAATGTAGGATTTATTTTACTGCATGTGTCTATATACAAAGGTGAGGATGTCTTTGGTTTATGAAGGCTTTGACATTTGAGAAGGCACTTCCAATAGCTTTTGCCACCAGACAGTGTATTGCTTTTATAGATGTGTCAGGCTCTTCTGATTTCTTCTTACTACTGCAACTGAGATTTTTAATGTGTTAAAAGCATTTGATTTTGATTGTTAACCAACACACAGCACGCTTATAGTGACCACTAGCAGTATGGCTCAGCGTTGCCCATGCTTGATTCAAAAATCGTATGACTCATACAGCAATCGCTATCACTTGACTTAAAATATTTTTGCCCTTCCTTGCCTTTAAAGGAGTGCCCTTTGCCGTACCGATGTTACTACATGCCTTACTTCTTGCCTATCTCACACTGCAAATTTTTTCTAAGCATTAACATCTGTTAAAATCTAAAATGTTAAATCTCTTACAAAAAAAGAACTAAATAAAATGAACACAAAACGATCAGCTTTAAAAAAGGACTCGTAACTGGAAAAACTGAATGAAAAAAGAATGTTAACAACAAATACTTTTTTACACTCAACCCAGTTCTGCAGAATCAGAATCAACGTTGAGCAAATGAGCCAATTGGAGTAAAGTGCCATGCAGATTTAAATTTTTCCCACTTGTGACGAATGCAGCTATCGATTTTTTTTGCATGCTAGCATGCTAGTTAACATTCGTGTCAGTCAGTTGTTGGCTCTCACGCTGGCCAATAGAATCTCCCTGCCTATTTGTGGCAGCCAGCTATTGGCTCCCACTCTGGCCAGTACAAAATGGCCGCAAACTACATGAAAACTGCCGTAGAAACATGAAAATATCGATTATTTCCACTATCAATGGGAGTTGGGAAATGCAAAGTCAGTCTTGGCCTTTCCGCTAACTTTGAGCATGTGCATGTAAATTTTGGTGCAAATCCATCGAAAATTGTGGCCGTGCATTCGTTACACACACACACACACACACACATCCTGCCTTTTATAGATAGAGATTATTAATGATGTAGAATGGAATGTAATCAGATGTGTTTCATGTCAGAAGTAGCATTGTGTTGTGAGCATGTTTTTACTTAACTCTGTTTATTTTGGATCTTGACCAGATCCAACTTGATGCCTGTTGAGGTGTGGTCTGGAGATGATGTGAAGCATGCTTCAGGCTCCAGACAGTGATGCCCACCTTCAAATGGAAGGAAACGATTGGCCATCCAAGGAATCCACAACACCTGAACTCAGTAACTAGTACATGACATGTCCATTCCTTTTCTATGCAGTCAGATTACAGCAATTTGTAGTGGTTTTTCTTTCGCTCATGTCCCTGCTTTCTCTTCTCCTCCTATGGAACCATTAATTCTACTAGGAGGACATACTTCTTTGAATCAGACCATGCTACAATGGCAGGGTGTGTGTCTGTCTGAATGATGTGAACTGGAAATTGCAGAGGTGTTCTAAGATCAACAAACACCCACCAGTCACAGCCTCCACTCAGTAGCATCATATTGGGAGTTATTTGAGTCTTTTGCACAAGGCGTTCATGTTCCTTGTGAAAACAGATCTTAGGTTATCTGGCTGTTACAGGCCACTTGTTTGGCTGCTTCATGCTTAGTAAATTTTCTCTTTTTGCTATCTCTCCTAAACCCTGTTCTGCCAACCATTTACACAACCTCGTTAGATAGGGAAATGTCAAAGAGAAAAGTCAAGAATAAATATTTTGGAAAAGTCATAGGAAAATGTTTAAAAAGATGTCAAATAAGAGTCAGGACTTCAACTTCTGGCTAGAAAAACTCATACAGAAAATATATTTTAATTTATTGAATGTATCTTAATAGAATAAAAAAAAAATAGTTTACAGTAATAAAATAATATTTTAAAAACGTACTATTTTACTGCCATAACTTAAATAAGTAAAAATATTACTTTCTCAGTGACGTTTCTTACCTCGCCAGAAAATTCTTCTTCTACTATATGACATGTTCCTTTATGATATAGGTGATCATGGCTCTCCACATATTCCTGTCCTTTGTAGCTCTTAATACATTTTGTCTTTTTGTTATCTCTCTTAAGCCTTGTTATACCATCCATTTACTCAAGGTCACTGTTGTAATTATAACGGCGGAGAGCTAGAGAAGAATGATTTATTCTCCCATTTGTATTTCCCCCATTATGGGTATTATCATATCAATGATATAATAACACTGTAATACACAATCGGGACAGAATAGCTGAAAGGAAAATGAATGACAAACATGCTTTGTTCTCAGAGAGACTTTTATACCACTAAGACATACACAAATCTATATATACATATATACAAATAATTAACATATTGAATTTATCTGAATAGATAGCAGGCTAGTGACAAATTGAATCACAACAATTCAAATGTGACTTAGGAAAATAAGAGACAGGAAATTGTAGAAAGCCATGAACTAAAAAAAAAATCACACTTAAGTAACTCAAGAACTCGAGAAAATTTACTCCAGACGATATATTAGTTATTAAATATAATTTTATGATCGTAACAATGATTTATACATTGGTATAATGGAAGAGGGCTATGGTAGAAAAATTTATTCTACCATTTGGATTTCCCTTATTATGTGCATTATTATATCGATGATGTAATAACACCATACGGAACAGAATGGATGAAAGGAAAAGCAATGAAAAACATGCTTTGTTCTCAGAGAGACTTTTATACCACTAAGATATGCACTAATCAATATAAATATATATACGCATGTTCTATAAAGAGAAAATTTTAACACATGTATTTACACAGTAAAGCAGAGTGTAAGGAGAAACAAAAAGGAAGTGTCTTATATATAATATGGAAATTCTTCTGCATTTCTGTGTTTCTGGTGAAGCCATGTTGAGGACTCCAGATTTGAATAGGCCTGAATCATCTACTATGGACATATTCTACAGAAGGGGATATGGTAAGACTTGAGTTTTTCCAAATTGAGGACTGTGAACCAGAGGTTCTTTCTATATCTGGGGCAGATATATTCCCAAAGGGAATCAGCACCATGGACTTGTGAGATGCTTGGAGAGGCAGATTAAGATTTGGCCCTGACTAAAAAAGCAACCACTTGGTTTGGCTAATGGAAACAAACTGAATGACTGGCTACTCTTGTCACTCCATAAAATGATGTCACTAAGCAGCTATCATATGACTTATCTCCATCAAAAGGTGACATTCACCTTCTGTATCCCACATAATGTTGTTTTTGTTCAAAATAGCCTGTAATTAGGAAGGACATAGTTAGAGACAGTGCTGAAGGAACACAAGGTAGAGGAAACAAAAAAGAAGAGGCTTATTAAATACTCATACAGAGAAGGAAATAACTTGAGTAAATCAGCTCCTCCTCAAATCCTACTCTAATGTGGCTACTTGCCATATTTATAAATAGGAGTAGTCCATTGTCACAGTAGTAGGGAAGAGCAGAAAGTACACTGTCCTACTTTACAGCACTCACCAACTAGATTATGTGTTGTTTTCCTCTGTCTCTCTTGCCTTTAATCTATCATGTGAATGTCAAATTTTCCAAGCTATCTTTCCTCATTATATACCCTAGAGATTTCTGATGTTAAGTATAAGTTTCCTTTTTGTTTTCATTTTCTCTAAAAATGTGTCATTGCTATTATATTCAGTGCATGGTAATCTTAGCATCCTTCTGTAGAGCAACATTCCTGTTGCTTCAAGTCTTTTCTTCATCTGTGAGGATATTATCCAGCATTCACTACCATATAGGAGGACTGATATTACATAACAGTTAAGTACTCTTTTGTTTGTTTCTAATAAAATTTTCCTGTCTCTTAATACTTTGCTTAGCTTTTGGAAGGCAACTTTTGCTATCATCCCTGGGTATCAATGACAGAGACTCAGAGAGTGGCACTCATATTGCACAGAAGTTTGTCCCATACATACATAAATACATACATACATACAAAGATAAATGTATGACGTAATAGGTACAGAAAGAAGTGATAATATCACATGTAAATGGAATAGCTTTCCTATGCTATCATCTGTAAATGGAAGCATTATTATGGACCCATTAGAGGTAATTAAATGAAAATTATATTAAAAATGGTTTAGTTCAGTCATTAAAGAAGAGAGAACAGAGAGAGCCAGAGATCTTGGAAGATATCCAGGGTATAGAAACAATTTTAGACAGTAATTTTGTGTTGGATACTAAAATAAACAGTGTGCCCCACCCAGTATGAGTCACATGTGTACCTCAGTGAAACAATCCCCAGTTGAAGTTCCTTGTTTTTGATGTTGTTAACAGGTTGCCAGTCAGTTAAAAGAAGCATGACAATTCTAATTCACATATGAAAGTAAATATTTGCTTGAAATTCCTGGAAATATTTGATTGCTACGTTTTCCTTGCACAGTTCATTTTAATTTTACTTGCAGTCAGTTTCTTGTATGTATCTCCAATCGGTTTAGTGAATACAGTTATATACTTGGATATAATGAAAACGAAGATAAAGTAATTGAGGGCAAGTAAATATTATGGATATGATATCATGGACTGAGCATATGAGCAATGATGAGGTTTTATTGAGGATGCAAACAAGGAGTAGGCTTATATTTAACATCAGGAAGAGGCAGCTGAAGTTTCTGGGACACATAATGAGGAAGGGGAACCTGAAGGATCTGATACTCATGGTCTGCATAGAGGGAAAAAGAGACAAGGGAAAACAATGCATGACATAACTAGCGGCCTTAAGTGAGTGGATGACAGAATGTGGTCTGTGGGGAGGTAATAGAGGGAAGGAACTTTTTGAGAGCTGTAAGGGATAGAAGGAGGTGGAGAGCCACGATCATGTATGTCCTGAAATGATATGGCACATAAAAAGGAAAAAGGACACATAATGAGGAAGGAGGGCCTGGAGAATCTGATACTCACGGGTCGAATAGAGGGAAAGAGAAAACAACACATGACATTCCTGGCGGACTTAGACAAGGGGATGACAGAATGTGATCTGGGGGGAGGAAGCAGAGGGAAAGAAACTTGTTGAGAGCTGCAAGGGATAGAGGGAGGTGGAGAGCCATGATCGCCTACATACTGAAAGGACACGGCACATAGAAAGAAAGATCACAAACAAATAAACTTTTGAAAAGTAATGCAGAGACTCTGTTAGAGAAGGTACTTGAAAGTGGGATGTGTAGGTGGTGTAATGTATATCAGTGTGAACAGTGGAATCGTAGAGCAGAGTTCAAATTCCAGGCTGGCCTTTTTGCATCCACTTTTGCATAAATACCCTTTGGAAAGTCTTCAATGTGTTTCTTCTCCCGTCCCCCAGCTTGGGGTTAAATAACAGGGAAGACTGGTATCACTATACTGGGGTGACAACCAGTCTAAGAGACGGAAAAATACTGAATTCCAAACTGTGTGGAAAGCAACAGGAAATCACTATTATCTTTTCCAAGATATCAAAATTCGATTACATGCTGGAATAAGAAAATTTGCCTTCCAAAATTAAGTAAAATATTAAGAAACAGGAAAATTTTGTTAGAAACAAAGGAAAGAGGACTGAACTGTTACATAATATTGGTCTTTTGATATGACAGTGAATGCTGGACAATCCCCTTACAGATGAAGAAGAGACTTGAAGCAACAGAAACAAAGGAAAGAAGACTGAATTGTTATGTAATATCAGTCTTCTGATATGACAGTGAATGCTGGACAATCCACTTACAGATGAAGAAGAGACTTGAAGCCACAGAAATGTGGCTCTACAGAAAGATGTTGAGAATACCATGGACTGAACATGTGAGCAATGGCAAATTTTGAGAGAAAATAGAAACAGAAAGGTCATTTATAGTTAATATCATAAAGCGATTTCTACAGCACATAATGAGGAAAGCGGACATATTAAGATCAAGAGGGACAGAGGAAAGTAACGCATACCTTAGGCAGGCAGTGCATAATGAGATTGTGTAAATGGTTGGCAAAAACTGGTATCAGGAGAGATAGCAAAAAGAAAAAACTTTAGTAAGAGCTACAAAGGACAGAACATCATGGAGAGCCATGATAACCCCACATCCTGAAGAAATAAGGCATATAGTAGAGCAAGAAAAAGGAAGAAGAAGAAGAAGAGAAAAAAGAAGAAGAATAAGAAGCAGAAGAGAAAAAAAGAAGAAGAGAAAAGAGAAGAAGAAGAAGAAGAAGAGAAAAGAGAAGAAGAAGAAGAAGAAGAAGAAGAAGATGAAGAAGAGAAAAAAGAAGAAGAAGAAGAAAAAAGAAGAAGAAGAAGAAGAAGAAGATGAAGAAGAGAAAAAAGAAGAAGAAGAAGAAGAAAAAAGAAGAAGAAGTAGAAGAAGAAGAAGAAGCTTGTGTAAATGGTTGGCAAAAACTGGTATTAGGAGAGATAGCAAAAAGAAAAAACTTTACTAAGAGCTACAAAGGACAGAACATCATGGAGAGCCATGATAACCCCACATCCTCAAAAAAAAGGTAGGAGAAAGAAGAAGAAGGAGCTTGTGTAAATGGTTTTCAAACTGGTTCGAAGAAGAAGAAGACGAAGAAGAAGACAAAGAAGAAGAAGAAGAAGATCTTTTGCATGAATTCATGGCAATTCACAGATAATAAAGAAAAAGAATTTGTGGAGAGTCATGTTTGCTGATATTCTGAAGTGTGTTAAATAAATGTCTCCCTCCCCAACTTATTAATTTTTGGATTCTCTTTCATCTCACTGCAGAGATTATTCATAGCTTCTTAATAACTATTAATAATTATTAGTTATTGGTAATTATTAATAATTAATAATTTATTAATAATGATTTATTATAATATGTTAATAGCTGAGCAGTAGTAATAAGCACACAAAATGAGAGAGGGAAAGAAGAATGCAAAAAATATAAAATATAACACTCTAAGTTAAATAGGTTTAATTTAAAATTTTCTGAAGGTAAATTAGATCAAGAGAAATCGGAAGAAGACTGCAGAGCACAACGTATGGAATGTTATCATTTTCAATCTTGTTTTTAATTATTTCCTAACCATTTCATTTATTGAAACTTTAGTATGGCTAATGCTAACCTCCAGGAGAAAGACTCAATGTGCCTTCCTGGTCTATAATTCTTCTACTGACATGAAGTGGAAAGATTATATTGAATCAATTGCTAGGTCTGCTGCTAGGAAATTTGTTTCATTCTGCCATGCTAGACAATTTTTCTTGCCCAAATCTATTGCACATATTTATATGTCTACCATTCACCTTGCTTAGAATATTGCTGCCAAATATTGTCCAGTGCTACTGCTATATATTTAGACATTCTTAATAAAATTTAAGGAATAATCTGCAATGTCATTGGTCTTGACCTGGCATCTCAGCTTCAGTCCCTTTCCAACTGCTGTAATGTAGCTTCCCTATGCCTTTTCTATAAATGGAAATTTGTTCGGTTGAACTTTCTGCTATGCTATCTAGGTGTTATGAATTCAAGCATGGCTTGATGTAAACGTAAGTTCTATGATAACAATTTCTTTTCTCACACTTATTCTTTGTGGAGCTCTCTTTTGTCTTGTTTCTCAGTCAAGTTTGATCTTCAAAAATTTAAATGCAATGTCGATTGTTGTCTTCTGTCTTCTTCATTCCTGTTCACTTATTGTTCGGACTCATTAATAATGTTTATCTTATATTCTTTCACACTCAGTAACACCACCCCTTGCATGTTAGTCGCTTTGTTGACTTGCTGGAGGGTGGATGATTAAAATAAAATTTACTAAATTTTCTTCATTTTTTGTTTTTTGAAAACTCATCTTTTGTTAGCCCCCACCTCATGTTTGTCACCCCCCCTCATGTTTGTCACCCCCCCATGTTTGTTTGTCCCTTTTGTCATTTATGATAATTTTTGATGTTTTTTCCACTCACATATATATTATGCCCCCCAGCCCCGACACCCTGCCATTATTTGGCACCTGAAAGTAACCCAGTTTGTTTGTTTTTTGGATCAAAATATACAAAACTACATGCAGATGTGAATGCAATTTGCAAACAAATATGTACAGAAGAATTTTGCATTTGATGGTTGCTTTGATGGAACCTGAAGTCTAAAATTTCTGATTACTAAATTTAAAATTTGCAGGCAAAACAAAACCAGCAAGAATCATGAGTTGTAGATAAAGATGGATGTATGGCATTCTCTGAATGCTGTTTATTTGTTATAGAGACCAAGTTTTACGTTTTATGTTTATGCTTTGAGGGAAAATGATAAAAATCTCTGCTCTTGTAAAATCAATCCTCTTTTAATGCTATTGTTATATACCATACCTATGAACAATAATGGGTATGTTTTAATTCTACATAAATACGTTGGACTATTGTAAGTGGGGGTAATATGCTGTTGAAGTAGTCCACCACTAACAGTGGTTTACAAACTTCATGCCACTGACAAGTATTGTATTTTGTTGATGTTTTAAAAATTAGCATTTCATTTCCAACCTCTCTTTTAGTTATTCCTCATTCAGTAACCCTTTCTAGTTTCTAACATTATCATCATTATTATTATTTTATTACCTTTGATTTTTGGTGTGTACATATTTCTTTCTGGGTCTCGCCCAGAGACCTAAGGTTAGAATTGACATCATGACATTTTCCACTGACCAATTAAAAAAAATAAAAGACACTCACACACATATTTTACATAGATAAAGCCCTTCGTAAGGTGTTGGCTGCACTCCATATATATATATATATATATATATATATATATATATATATATATATATATATATATATATATATTATAAATTAATTGATTTAAAATATGTTTTTTTTTTCCGCTACACAGTTCTAACCATGTTTCAAAAATGGAAGCTGAAATTAAATTAAAGACATTAGTTCCATTTCATCCTCAAACGAATTTTGGAGTAACTTTTAAAATTACTGGGTTTAAATTTATAATATTAATGCTCTGTAAATTTACATTGAGCACTATTTTGTAAAAAATAAAAAATATCTATAAGAACACCGGATTATATATCTTACTGTTCTTTCTTTTTTATTTAATATATATATATATATATATATATATATATATATATAGATAGATAGATAGATAGATAGATAGATAGATATGAACAGATTGGGATAGATATGAACAGACTGGGATAGATAGATAGACATGAATAGACTGGGATAGAGTTAGTTGATGATATAAACATTACCATTTCATTTTCAACCTCAGTTTTGGGTATTCCTCTTTCAGTAACCCTTTTTAGGTTACAACAAATAGATAGATAGATAGATAGATAGATAGATAGATAGATATTAACAGAGTGGAATAGTTTTATATACTGTACCTATGAACACTAATGACTATGTCCCAATCCTCATAAATACATTGGACACTATTGTAAGTGGGGGGGGTGGGTAATATGCTGTCTAAGTAGTCCACCATTAGCAATGGTTTACCTACTTCATGCCACTAGTGAGTATTTTATTTTGTTGCTGTTATAAAGATTACCATTTCATTTCCAACCTCAGTTTTGGGTATTCCTCTTTCAGTAACCCTTCCTAGGTTACAATGGTTAGTGGGAGAGTTGAAGACCCACAAAATCTTGACTTCAGTCACTTTCTCACCAATATGCCATGGCTTCCTTCTGTCTTTTCTACAAATGTTTTCATGGCAATTCTTCTTTCTTTCTTGGTGCTTCAACTGCATGAATTTAATTGTGCTAATAGACTTGTAAATAGGTTTCACTGTTTTACTGTTAAAATATATAAATGTAACTGTATGCTCTATCGTAATAGTTTCTTTTTCTTGAACTTCTTGCCTGTGGAACTCCCTCCTGATTTCTTAATTCCCTACCAGTTTCAATCATCAAAAATTTAAATGTAGTGCCAATTGCCATCTTATGTCTTCTTGATTGCTGTTATTTTATTGTCCTTTCTCCTCACTGAAGTCTTCTCATTCTCTTTCACTCCCAGTAACCCTTTACATCCTAGTGGCATTAACATCTTGCTTGAAAAACTGTTAAAGTGGAGTCTGATTGTTTTCAAAGATCAGACTGAAAATAAAATGAAATCTATTTTTGCATATTTTAATTTTTGAAACTTTTAAATTTATTTTTTTAATATTGATCTTATAATTCAACTTTTGTTTTGTTTTTTTTCATTTTTATTTATCTTATAAAATCCAGGAATGACACTCAAGACAATATATAACAATACAATTAAGAATTATATATCTATAATATTTTAAACAGGATTTTTGAAAACCGCATAGTTCTAACGCTGTGACAATACTCCCCCAGTACTAATGCAAGCAAATATTTAATTGAATCATTTCCTAAACAAAGCATTGTTAATTATTAATTATTTTCAATGATATTTCTTTCATCTTAATTTTTGTGTCTTTTTATCCCGATGCCCAGATCAGCATTTCATAAGTGTTAATAAGTAATATGAATAAAATATAAATCTTCCTTTATACTCAGAAGCCTGCTGTTCCATGGCAGCTGTCTTATCAATTAGGTTATGTCAGCAACTAGCTGCAGTAATTCAAATCTACCCATATATCCTTTATGGTTTATTTCTGTTTTTTTTTTTTTATCGTCAGAAAATATAAAGTATGTGCAAAGTTTCTATTGAAAAAAATAATTTGCATCTGTTTATTTATATTTTAGTTTTCAAAAAAGTGACTGTAAAATTTTCCAAATATTGTTACATTCTGTGTCATCTTTGGGTTTTCCCATTACTACATAAAATGATATCAATGAAAAGAACCAATTCTTTTTCTTATTTGTTTTATTAGGAGAGACTGATGACATCTTGGATTCTAAGAGGCATAATTGTTCTAGCAAGACAATCTTGCTAACCATTATACCACGTTGAGGTGTCCATATCTCATGCATATATGTCAGGTAAATATATATATCTCAGGTATATATGTCAGGTAAATATATATATCTCAGGTAAATATATATATCTCAGGTAAATATCTATATCTCAGGTATATATGTCAGGCAAATATATATATCTCAAGTATATATATCAGGCAAATATATATATCTCAGGTATATATGGTAAATAGATATTTATTTGTATTGGGTATACTCTTTAAACTCTCCTATCCAATTCACCCCATATTAATTTAATAGGGATGAAATCAGGAGATTGAAGAGGCTAAGTCATAATCTCCAAAATTTTGTTCCTTTTTTGATTTGAGATAATTTTGACGTTATTTAGAAGAGTGTTTTCGATTGTTGTCTTGTCGAAAGGTGAATTTTTTCCAATTATACATAAACCAGATAGTATAGAATATCTTTGCAAAATCAAATGATCTTGTTCTTTTTTCATGAGCCCGTTTACATGAATCAAATCTCCAGTCACCTCTCCACCAAAACATCTCCACAGTATAACAACCCCACCACCATGATTAACTGTTAGAACCAACCAGTCAATATTCTGTCTTTCTCTTGGTTGTCTTCTCTCATATACTCTCCTCTTACTAACAAAAAGTTCAAATTTGGACACGACTGTCCACAATATATTTCGTCACTCTTTCAGTGTCCAGTTCTTATGATTTTTTGCCCAGTGCAATCTTCTTTCTCCTTATTGCCTGTAGTGTGTATATATATATATATATATATATATATATATATATATGTACATTTATATATAGTAACAGTTATAGTCAATAAAGATATAAAGTGTGAAGTAAAAGTCATGCACCATAGGGATAATTTATTAAAAGTATAATTACACATGAAATATTTTATTTACTAGTTTTAATTGTTATATTTGCTGTCCAAAATGTCCTCCTTGTTTTTCAAGACATATTTCCATTTTGTCCCTGCCTGATTCATTAACATTTCAGAATAATTCCTCTGTCATTTGACTGCATTCATATTTAATTAAAATTAGAAAAACGTTTTTGTGACGCATTTGATCTGATGAAGTCCTAATGGATGAAATGCATCACAAAAAAAATGAGTCCCATATATATATATATATATATATATATATATATATATATGATGAAGTCCTAATGGATGAAATGCATCACAAAAAAATGTCATATTTCCTCAATATATATATATATATATATATATATATATATATATATATATATATATATATATATTTTAAGACATTTTATGCTTATACATTCTTTTCATACATACAAATATTTAAGTAAATGCTCAGTTTTTATAATAGACAGTATTAAACAACATTTATTATAAAAACAGAGCATTTACTTATTTGTATCTATAAAAAAAATGTATAAACATAAAAATGTCTTAAAATAATTGTCGGACTTTGGCCATTTCATAATATATATATATATATATATATATATATATATATATGTATATATATATATATATATATATATATATATATATATATATATATATATATATATATATATATATATATATAGTAATACAATATATATATTATGAAATGGTCTAACTCTGACACACATACACACACACACATATATTTATATATATATATATACTAATACAATATATATATATATATGTTTCCCATAGTTTTTTTTTTATCATTTAAAATTGTGCTGATAATTTATGTATTCACTGTATATCTTTTGTGGACTGAAAATGATGTTGCAGTTGAAATGAAAATGAATAAAATTGAACGAAATGATGTATAATAATGGTCAATTCTTCATTTGAGAAACTCTGACATAAATTGACGATCACTGCGGAGTATAAAAGCAAGAGAAATAATCTGAAAGGATTTTCTATTTTTTTTTTTTCAATGGTAAGTTTCCCCCTGTATAAGGCTCAAAAGCCACTTGAGGTAGAGGATTATGTTAACGGGTGGGTTATATGAATGGGAGGGAAAGATAACGGTTGACTCTAGACTTGAACAGGTTAAGATTGTAGTGCTTAGGGAAACCTCCTCTTGGGAATCTGTCTGCGGGGAGAAGCTGTTTGAGTGGAACTTCTCACTGATGGAATACAGAGGGAATGTGGGTGCTTTGCTACTATGTAAGTGGTATGGTAGGTCCTAGCCATGAAGGTCAGACCTGGTGAAACCAGGAGATGCAGTTTGTCTGAGCACTTTCCATGGTAGTAGTGAGAGGCTTACCACATCCAGCCTGTGAGAGACAGAGTTTGGAGGGTGGAAAGTAATAATATTTGTAACAAATATGGCAACAAAGATGAGGAAAATAGTTCAAATAATGTAAATAGTGTACATAACACCCCATCTCAGAAATATAGACAGATACTGAAGAAGGCCGGAGCGTACAACGGTCGAAACGTTGTGATAAATATGGCGACCAAGATGAGGACAATAGTCCGAATAATGTAAACAATGTACATAATAACTCATCTCAGAAATATAGACAGATACTGAAGGGCCGAAACGTTGTAATAAATATGGTGACAAATATGAGGACAATAGTCCAAATAATGTAAATAGTGTACATAATACCTCATCTCAGAAATATAGACAGATACTGAAGGGACAACACTTTGTATTAAATATGGCGACAAAGATGAGGACAATAGTCCGAATAATGTAAATAGTGTACATAATACCTCATCTCGGAAATATAGACAGATACTGAAGGGCCGAAACATTGTAATAAATATGGCACTAAAGATGAGGACAATAGTCCGAATAATTTAAATAGTGTACATAATACCTCATCTCAGAAATATAGAGAGACTTCAGGACCCTTTTCTTTGTTTCAAACAAAATTTTCCCTTTTCTTGAGACCAAATAAAAATACAAGGTAAGGAGATTGTCTTACATTATTTTTAAAGTAATTTTTCTTATGTACATATCCCGAGACCCACTCAAGCTAGAGTGTGACATTAAGACACAGTTTATATGGATAGTTGAGGAAGATAACGGTTAACCCTAGACTACAAGCAGTTAAGATTGTAGTAATCTAGGAAACATCTACCTAGGAGTTGGTTACACAGAACAGCGGTTCGCGGGAAGAAATTAATCAAGTGGAACTTCTCACCAATGGAATATGGAGGGAATGTGGGGGGAGGTTTGCTACTATGTAAGTGTCATGGTGGGTCCTAGTTGTGAAGGTTAGGACTGGTTGAACCAAGGAATGTAGTTTGTCTGAGCACTTTTCATGAAAGTAGCAATAGAACAGTGAGATGCTTGCCACGCCCTGCCTGTGAGAGAGAGATTGGGGGGTAGAAAATAATTCTTCTCTGACAAGGACTCCGAGATGCTTTCAAACTGGAGAATGAGGACTAGGCAGCTCCTGTGCAAATATAGCAACAGTTCTTCATTTTCAGGCTCTTATTTTTTTTTTAACCTTTTCAGCTCAAGCAAGGTGGGAGTGCCACTAGCACTCAAGGGGTTACAAAAAGTGGGAGCAAAGAGAAAAGAGGTGTGAAAGATGAAAGGATGAAGAGAAGGATGGGGAATAGATCAAGGCATCTGGAGATGTCGATTGACATTGCATTTGAATAGTTGGAGATTATAGCTATTAAGAGATTAAGCAAGTAAGAGGAAGGGAGTTTGACAGACGGGAAGTGTGAGACATGAAGCTATAAAGGTAGATCTTAGGATGAGGAGTCAGGTATTTTCCTTCTCTTCATTTGGCAATGGATATCACTGACACATTAGATGAAACTGTGCCTGCTTGCACAATTCTATAGGCTTTTACCTACTTGTCCATATTCAAAGAGTAAAATTCTGAATGGATAATCTTCATAATAGCAATAAAAAATTGTGCATGACATTGATCCCATTGTTGAAGATTACTTGGACATTTGTATGTAATAAGAAAGTGATGACCACTGAGAAACGTGTTTTCTCTCTAAGCATTATATCTGAATTGGTTTTATTGACCCAAGAGGCAAATCTCAAAATTAAGAAGAAAATGAACCAAATTAGCATTAAAATAAATTTTTGGGGAGCTGACAGCTTAAATTTTTCAAATATTTGGAATAGCAAACATAATAGTGTAAGGATGATGATCATGGGTGTGGCTGAGTGAGGAGGCCATAAGTTGATGATCAAAGAAAATAAAAATTTGGAAAAATACAAAAATCATGCCTACCAGCTTAGAAAGCTGTGGGTTGGGGTCATAACTGGAGTACTTGGAACAGAGTTAAAAATATTATAATCAAAAATGGATGAATTGGAAATTCAAGGAAGAATTGATACTGTCCAAATGAGAGTTGTCTACAAGAATAATGATGACGATGATGGATCATTCAGGAGATTTGATCTTATTGATTTTCCATCAATAATGTTTGTAAATCTAAACTGAACATGAAAATAGATGAAATAATGATAATAAATCAAATACTGAAAGTGATTAAAAACTGTAATGTGAAGAGACAATTTATGGAACACATAATGAAGAAAGAGGGCTTGGAGAATTTAACATCCGCAGGACATACTGAACGCAAGAGAGACAGAGAAAAACAGTGAGTAATGTATACAATAAGCTTATGTAACTGGATAGCTCAACAAGGCCTAGGAAGAATGATGTAAAAACAAACCTTACTAAGTGCTATAAAGAATAGGAAGTTGTGGAGAGCTATGACCGCCAATGTCCATAAGGGACATGGCATATAAAGCAAGAAGAATTTGAATCAGCTTCAAAAAAATGTTATACTTTGAAAACTGTTTATCAATGGCAAAATAGATAATAGGAATCTTAGTAAAACAACATTGGTAAAAGTAAGAAAGAATAGAAAAATGTGGAGAGCCACTGAGCAACGTGTTTTCTCTTTATAGTAAATGTTATATCTGAATTGGTTTTACTGACCCATGAGTCAAATCTCAAAATTAAGAAGAAAATTGTGGAGAG